CAGGGACAGGGACAGTCAGGGACAGGGACAGGGACAGGCAGGGACAGCCAGGGACAGGGAGAGATCAGGGACATGGGGACAGTCAGGGACAGCTGGGGACAGCGACAGTCAGGGACAGGGACAGCGACAGGGACAGGGACAGGGACAGGGACAGCTGGGGACAGGGACAGGGACAGGGACAGGGACAGGGACAGTCAGGGACACTCAGGGACAGGGGACAGGGAGAGCTCAGGGACACAGGGACAGCCAGGGACAGGGATAGATCAGGGACAGCTGGGGACAGGGACAGTCAGGGACACGGGGAGAGGGAGAGCTCAGGGACAGGGACACGGGGACAGCCAGGGACACGGGGACAGCCAGGGACACCTGGGGACACGGACAGATCAGCGACACGGGGACAGCCAGGGACAGCCAGGGACAGCCAGAAGACAGAGCAGGGACACCTGGGGACATGGACAGCTCAGGGACATGGACACGGGGACAGCCAGGGACACCTGGGGACAGGGACAGGGCAGGGACAGCTCAGGGACACAGGGACAGCCAGGGACAGGGGACAGGGCAGGGACACCTCAGGGCTGGCACCCAGCATGGCAAGGGGGCGTTGGTCCTGATCAGCAGCAGGAGGATGAAGGATGAAGGAGCAGGACGGGGATGAAGGAGGATGAGGACGGGGACGAAGGAGCAGGATGGGGATGGGGATAAGGGATCAGGATGGGGACGGAACCCAAGCCCACCCGTCTCACCTGGGCGCTCTCCTCAGGCCTGCTGAGCACAGCCACGGACACCGGCCTGGCCAGAGCCCGGGAGCAGCAGCGGAGCTGCAGGGACAGAACAGGGATGGGACAGGGACAGGGACAGGGGACAGGGGACAGGGACAGCGGGTCAGCCCTGCCCAAACATCCCCAGCACAGAGAGCCTGTTTCCAAAACCCAGCCCAAAACCCTCTCTATGGGTCCCCAAAACCCAGCCCAAACCCCGCTGCACCCCCAAACCCAGCCCAAACATCTCTGCACCCCCAAAACGAGCCCAAACCCCGCTGCACCCCCAAACCCAGCCCAAACCCCCCTGCACCCCCAAACCCAGCCCAAAGCCCTGCAGGGACCCCCTGGGAGCAGAGATCAGCGTTCCCAACCCTCAGGAACCCCAGAGTTTTTGTGGAGCGCTGGAATGCCGCTAAAACATCCCAAACTGACACAAAACCCGGAACCCAGAGCGCTGTCAACGCGGGGGGCTCCTATTGCAGCCCCCTGGATCAACCCCACACCCCCCCGGGCTGAGCACAGCCCCAGAAATTCCCCTTCTCCCACTTTTCCACGCGTTCTCCTCCTGGGAAGAAAGGGATTCCCGTGGAAATCCCGTGGAAATCCAGGAATTCCTGCTGGGAGCAGCGCTGGGCCTGCAGCCGAGTGCCAGCCACTCACATGGTGTCAGCAGAGGTCACCTTGTTCCCTTCCTGCCTAAAGCAGGCTCAAAACCCCGGGATCCCAGCTCAGCAGTGCCACAAATCCCAAATTCCTGTGGGAATTCCCGGGGAAGCACCTACCAGCGCCGGGGAGCTGAGGAGAGCCACGGGGGCCGGCATCCTGCTGGGTCTGCGGGGGAAAACAGAAATGTCACAGGAATAACCCAAAGGGACAGGATCCATGTCACACACACACAGGAATAACCCAAAGGGACAGGATCCATGTCACACACAGGGACAGGATCCGTGTCACACACACACAGGAATAACCCAAAGGGACAGGATCNTCACACACAGGGACAGGATCCGTGTCACACACACACAGGAATAACCCAAAGGGACAGGATCCGTGTCACACACAGGGACAGGATCCGTGTCACACGCACACCACAGCTCCTCCGCTGTCCCCTCCGAGGGGCACCAGCCCCAGGGTTGTGTCCCCAGGGTCGTGTCCCCAAGATTTTGTCCCCAGGGTCGTGTCCCCATGGATTTGTCCCACTGACCCTCTTGTGTCCCAAGGTTTTAACCCCACTGTGATCCCAACTATCCCCAAAGGTTTCACCCCACTGTGTCCCCAAAACTTTAATCCCATAGTCACTGTCCCCAAGGTTGTGTCCCCAAGGTTTTGTCCCCAGGGATTTGTCCCACTGACCCCAGCGTGTCCCCAAGGCTTTAACCCCACTGTCCCCGAAGCTTTAACCCCACCGTGTCCCCAAATGTCCCCAGGGTCGTGTCCCCAGGGATTTGTCCCACTGACCCCAGCATGTCCCCAAGGTTTCACCCCACTGTCCCTGAAGCTTTAACCCCACGGTGTCCCTGACTGCCCCCAAGGTTTTGTCCCACTGACACTGCTGTGTCCCCAAGGTTTTAACCCCAGTGTCCCCAAAGCTTTCACCCCACTGTGTCCCCAAAGGTTTAATCCCATAGTCACTGTCCCCAAGGCTTTGTCCCCAAGGTTTTAACCCCAATGTCCCCAAGGCTTTGTCCCCAGCCATGTCCCCAGCTGTCCCCAAAGGTTTCACCCCACTGTGTCCCCAAGGTTTTAATCCCACTGTGACTGTCCCCAAGGCTTTGTCCCCAAGGTTTTAACCCTGTCTGTCCCCAAAGCTTTAACCCCACTGTGTCCCTGACTGCCCCCAAGGCTTTAACCCCACTCTGTCCCCAAGATTTTAACCCCTTGTGTCCCTAAGCTTTGTCTCCCCCTAAGGTTTTAACCTCCCCATGTCCCCGACTGTCCCCTAAAGCTTTAACCCTCTCGTGTCCCCGACCATCCCCGCCGTGTCCCCAAGGTGTCGTGTCCCCGACTGTCCCCAAAGTTTTAACCCCCCGTGTCCCCGACTGACCCCCGTGTCCCCAGCTGCCCCCGAGGTTTTAACCCCCCCGTGTCCCCGACCGTCCCCAAGGCTTTAACCCCCTCGTGTCCGTGTCCCCGACCCTCCCCAAG